TAGATAAATAAATAAATAGATAAATAGATAGATAAACAGATAAATAAATACCTAAGCAATGATAACAATTAAGCAAAAAATAAAAGAATAAAAAGATCATAAAAACATAAGCAAGAATTTGAGGCCCTAAACCTAAGCCCTTGCTGCCTCCGGGCACTGAAGACTGCGCCCCAGATCCGAAACGCATGACCCCAGAGACCCTCGGTGTAGGGTTTTGGGGCTTATGAGTTTAGGGTTTATGGGTTTAGGGCTTAGGGTTTAGGGTTTAGGGGTTTAGGGGTTTAGGGTTTAGGGCTGAGGGTTTAGGGGTTTAGGGGTTTAGGGTTTAGGAAAATGCTAAAGGCACTGTCAGTACAGCTCAGACCCCAAAAGCAGGCAAACAACTCCCTAAATCCCTATGTTGCCTCTCAAGGAACCGAACCTCCCCCCCCTCTCAAAAACAAAACTAGACCCTAGGCCCCAAAACTCTAAACCCTAAACCCGAAACCCTAAAACCCTAAAACAGCAAAGGCACCTCGCCCTCCGCCCTCGAGTCCGGCGTCTTGGAGCGGGGTCTGACGCGGATGGCCGAGCTCGGAACCTCGGCGTCTTGGGATTTTAGATTGGGGGCGGGGGCGGGGGGGGCTTAGGGTTCCCTTAAAGGGTAGTAGAAGGGTTCCTTTAAAGAGATCTATAAGGGCTTAGGGCTTGAGGGCCTTTTGTCTTCTTTTTTTGGTTTGGTTTGAGGGTCTTTAGGGCCTTTTTGCTTCTTGTGTTTAAGTGGTTGTAGGGCTTTCTGTTTGGCTTAGGGTCTTTTTGTTGGATGGCTGTTCTCAACATGGGTATGGCACTTTCAACAAGTAGGGGACCTTACTGCAATGTAGATCGTAACTGCTGTGGGATCCACCTTCCCCCAAGAAATGCATCCCTGATCTTCGGCATCCACCACCTCGATGCCTTGAACCGAGCTCTGGGCTCGGTGGACGCTGCTCGGTTTCCGGCGGCTTGGATGGCCTGGGAGTTTGGGGTCTCAGAGGTTTGGGGCCGTAGGGCTTGGCTTTGACTTGGACGGGCCGGCCTGAGCGCGGCCTCCTGGATTCGGCATCCTCCTCGTGGAGCAGCGATGGTGCCGTGGTTTCCGGGGGCGCAGGGGAGGCAGCCGAAGGCGACGCCGGCGGCGATGCCGCCGATGCTGCCGACAGCTCGATAGCAGCTGCCGCCTCGGTCCGGACTTCTTGGACGCTCTTCGCGAGCAGGAGGAGCCCCTTCCTGTCGGGACCAGGGGAGATCAGGACAGACTCAGAGCCTCTTTGACGCAACGCGCGAAATGTTGGAGCCCGCAGCTCTGGCTTGCAGTCTTCGGAACACAGAAGCTGGCCTGATGTCTGTGAACTCCTGCTCCACCTGGACACACTGGCATGATGATGCTGTAGATGAACAATGCCATGGAATCTCAGAACGGAGTTCGGGCGCGGGCAAACTCGCACAGGTTGTTGAACTTGATGGTTTGCTTGGTGTTGTCGAACATCATGGTCATGACCTGAAACTTCAAACCGTGACTCTAAGAGCTCGACGTGCAAAGCAGGCGGTCTGAGATCCCGGCATCCAATTTCGTGGCAGCTCCTTTCAGCTTCATGGTGCCGTTCCTGAACAGATGTCTGCTGCAGCAGCAGCGACTCGGAAGCTCGCTTCCACCACTGTTGTGTTGATTGTGATCTTGCGGGGATTCGGGATGTCCTCAGGATGTAAACCCGACAAGTCTACGCCAAGTTGCACAAACTCATCAATCTTGAGCTCATCGCTTTTGTCTGCGTCCAAGATCGCAAAGATGATCGAGGCCTCCATCGATGGCATTTTGCGGTGCATGGAGACCCCCAACCCCCTTCAGGGTATCTCTCTACGCTCGCGACCCGTGGCCCTCATTCTCTAAAACCATTGAAACCATTCGTCTACGACGATTAGTGCTGTCTGTCTGTTGGTACAACGGCTAGTTTAGATGCGCGCTGTCGGCCCCTTGCGGTAAAGTGATACACAGGCAGTTAAAGTGCCCTGCACCCACCCGGATCCCTTGTTCTGACAGCTTGTTCCGCCTCCGATGGGTCAATGTCCAGCCCAGAGAAGTATGCCTTGCAGATACCAGCGAGGCACAGCCACTTGCTTTTGACAGTGTTCTTTCAAGTCTTCCTTTGGTGTAGAAGGTAGAGGGTGAGGACTTGGAGTCCGGGGCCTCGGTTCCCGAGTATCCCAAAGCCCCCGAGCACGGCACCTTGACGAGAGGGTCGTCCAGCTGCTTCTTGAACTCCTCGTAAGCAAGGGATCTCGCTTAAAGTAGCGAGCTGCGAAGACAAGGCTACTCCACACGAGGTATGCTACGACGTCGTCGCAGTCGTCGTCGTCATCGCGGTCCAAGTCGTCGTCGTTGTGGTGGTCGCCGTCGTCGTTGTGGTTGACGCAAGACGTTGTCGTCTTCCTCCTCGTCCGTTGTCGGCGTCGTTGTCGATCGTCGGCAACGTCGGCCTAACGCTTATGGCAATACCTGGCTGCGAGTGCTGCTATTGCTCCAGAACTACGGCTTCGACTTATCTTGCTCTTCTTGTTGATACTGGTATGGGACTGTTACTATCTCAGTGGTTGTGAACTTGTCACTCCGTTTCCTCGTATGTCAAAGTCCCTGACCGGTCGGTGTCTGCAGTCTGGAAGAAGGACTTGATCTCTCGAGTCGTATTTCTCAGGTCATCGATGTAACCTGCAGGGTGCAAGGGAACTGCGGGAATGTGGCCCTAAGCCTAGAACTTCACACCTGGACTATAAACCCGAAAACCTTATGCTACCCGCATGCCCCGAAACCAAACCACCCTACGGCAGATGAAAACCGGGACTGCTTCAGAGTGCCGGGCACCTTGAACCACCTCGTCTTCTGTCCTGGCGCGCTCGGGAAATGCCCTACTTTCGGGTACCCCTGCACGTCCGCCTGACCACAAACTCTGCGAACACACTAAACCCTCCAGCTTCAAACCATGATTCACAGCAGAGTCCCTAAACTTAACCCTAAGCCCTAAACCCAAACCCTAAGCCCTAAGCCCAAATCCCAAACCCCTGAACTCTAAAACTGAGAGCCCCGAAACTCTGAGAACCCCTGAGCCCACCACTGAAAGCCCATGACTTACGGCAGAGTGCCCGCGCAAGGGCTGCGGAGGTGGTGCTCCCATCAGATGCAAGGACTTTTCCCAAGGCTTCGGACGTTGAGGTCGCCAGGACTCCATAACCCTAAAGCCCGACACCCCCTAAGCCCTAAACCTCTTCGGATTCATGGGGTTTTAGGGTTTAGAGTTTTAGGGCTTTTGGGTTTTAGAGGGTAGGGTTTTGGGGTTTAGGGTTTAGGGTTTATATCTTTTGGGGTAGGCGGCACGGTCCCTAAGAACCAATCCCGGGCCTGCAACAAACGGCGCTGTCCACGAAGACACCCGTGACCACCTAGGCACGGTTTGGGATTTAGGGTTGGGTTTGTGGGGTTTAGGGTTTAGGGTTTAGGGTTTTTCTTGTCTGAACTCTGTGCTACACTGCCCGAACTCCGAAACTTACTAAACCCCCACAGCCTTTAAAACCCCCAAACCCCTAACATCCAAACCCCTAAACCCTAAACCCCTAAACTCCAAACCCTAAGCCCTCCACCCCAAGCCCCAAAGCCCTAAACTCCAAACCNNCCCTAAACCTCTAAGCCTAAACCCCAGATGCCAAAACCCTCCACCTTCAATCCCGAAGCCACTAAGCGCGCTGAGAGCGGAGCATTGAACATTCCAATGACGCAGAACCTGAGTGCAGCGACACTATGTGGGCAGTTCGCTAAATTGGGGTCTCTTTGTAGGTCCCACATATCTTAGTGCGGCAGCCTCGTAAAAGGGATCCTAAACGAGGCCCTCATTAGGAGAACTACCCATGTATGCGTAAGAGGGTGCATGAGGGTTCAGGATTTAGGGCTTCTGGGGGACCAGGGGTTTTTGGTGGTTTGGGCTTTCGGGATTGAGGCCTTGATGGGGTGTAGGGGGATATGGGGCTTAGGGTTTTGAGTCGTTCTGTTGCCTTTCGTTCGAAACCAAACCATACAGACATGGTTGGAATCGGCATTGGGGCTGCAATCTTGCAGGTGCTACAGTGGAGAAGATGCAACAAAGCAGTATCCTAGTAGGACATCTATGTTAGCATATGGAGCCTATTTCTACTGGTCTGCGAAGCTGCTACACACAGCAACCCCTGGGGCGCAATCAGTTGGGCACGAGATTGGGGTGAGGAGTTAGGGAGTCTCACGTTCATGGCTTAGGGCTTCAGATGTGTTTGAGGTGCAGGGTTCTGTTTCCGTGGGTCGACTGCAAACATGGTCTCACAAAGAAACAAAGCTCCTGCCGCCAGGGGGCGCGATGTAGAAGTTGAAGATGACGAAGTAGAGCTCGCCGTGGCTTATGCCTCCTGATTCCCCGGCTCGCAGACTCGGGGTAGGGTTGAGCGGGTTTAGGGTTTAG